CATATTAAGTCACTTAGTGATGTGGATATGAAAGTTTCCATTGTTGTACATATAACTATTTTGGATCAACTACGTTTTGCATCTCTGTGGCTTGAGGTGAGTGAGAGTTGTTTCATGGCCCCTAAAAACTAACAAAAGCAGCCCCTAAAGTTACAAATAGTATAATCAACATTACGCATTGATAAAAAGTTTAAAGTAATGCTAGAAAGATCATATTTGTACAGAGAAAAAAAAGTATCATTACATTAAGAAATGAACGATATTATTATTTTATTTTATTGATTACAAAATAACTCACGCACTATTAGCGCATAAGAACAAAAACAAGGACACAACCCCAAAATTTATATTAGGGTTTAGTCATTTATTCTCTTAAACAAAACAAAAAAAAAGGGCAATAAATTTTCATTCATCTCAATCCCATGCACCAAAATAAGTTATATCACTAACATTTCTTAGTGCATGTACATCCCAGCCTGAAGCCAGGACATTTGCCTCCCATGAAGCCCTCTTTTTGGCAAGCATCTGCACAGCTGCTTGATCGGAAGCAAAATCCCTTGAACTTCGTGCTCAGAGACTCACAAGTCCTTGACGTCTCCTTTGTTGCGACCCTGCCCTCAGCAACCATTGGACCCGTCCCTGCCAAAGATTCATCGATAAAAATTAATGAGAGAAGATGGATTCAAACTTGAAACGTCTTTCGGCATTGGAAAGAGATATATCACTAATCAAATATAAAGATGAAATTAAAATGAGGAAATAGAGAGATACCAAGAGCCACAAGGAGCAGGACGAGGATGAAGACAGTTGAAAACATACGTTTGGATCCCTCCATCTTGATTTTTGTGTATGCGTATATGCACGCGTGTGAAACAAAAAGACAGACAGAGGGATGTTGAATGTTGATTCAAGATGCCTTGATTCAAAGGTGAACGTCCTTCTGCCTTTTATATAGAGTTGTTATGAAGCAAATTAAATGCATTTCCATAAAGGGCGGTACACTGGTGAAAAATAGAGAGTGGATGAAAATTTAACCTTTGTTATTTTTACCTAACACTTAATTAGCCCATTTTATGCGGACATGGATGATAGACCTGAATTAACATGTCATATGGACAACAAATAAGAACTTATAGAAAATCTTTAACCTTCTATTTAACCTTTTTTTTGTTGGACAGATTCTATTTAACCTTCTAGTATAGGTGATGTGTCAACTCTTCATTTTTTAGATGGATATGTCAACTCTTTAATCATTTGTAATTTGACGCACAAAAGGGCCAATAGTGTAATAATTTATAATTTTAAGGGTAATTTTCCTACTTTTTAAAATACTGAAACCAAACTGTTGCGTGCCTCAAATCACAATTAATTAATAATTATGGTTGATGAGAGTTTAGAACTGACCAGTGGCGAAGCCAGGATTTCATGTGTGTGAGGGCCTCTTACAAATTATAAAGAATAAAAAAAAAATTGAACTCACAATACATACGAAAAATAGTATATATATATATATATCACATATGTCAAGAATTATATTGCTTATTGGTTGCAATCATAATTGTCCTCAACAAAGGGATAGACAAATACATTCTAAGCAAGAAAAATTGCAAGGGATAGACAAAGAGTAGCGATTTAGCAAATATCTTTCAAGCTTTTTCCCCCATTAAAACCAATAGAAAGAAAAAATCAAAAGTATTGGTTGGTATTTATAGACACTGGCGGACCCGGAATTTTTTTAGCGGAGGGGCAATATTGACTAAGTATGAAAAATGGGTTTCCGGAATAATCATTTTCTCAAGATAATTTTTTGTGGCTTTTATTCTTTACACATCAAATAAGAAAACTTGATTTTATAGGATTTTAGAAAATCGTATTTTGCACTAAAACCGATTTTTCATATTTTGATTTGGTGGGAATTTTATTTTTTAGTATTTTTATTTGAATCTAAATAGGGGGTATTTCCTTATTTACGTTGTAAACTTAAATAAATGGAGTAAAATAAAAATAAATGAAAGTAAAAGGACAAAGACATTTACTTAAATGCTGAAAATGGAAATAAAGTAATCTGTACATTTGGAGTGCACAACCACCAGCTGAGCAATGGGCAATTTGAAGCACATCCTTATGCTTTAATAGGTCCATCACAACACATGTGGGTACATATCAAAACGTAAGTATTTGAAATAATATACATATAAAAATACATAACAATATATTACTTTTAAAATATAAAATAATTGAGTGGGGGCCCGGGACCACACTGGTCCCAGTGTGGCTCCGTCCCTGGAACTGACCGTACATGATTTCAACAACTCTTTGTGAGTTGGGTGTTGTGAAGATCCGTATTTAATATATATATATTGAAGATTAAATAGTTTTCTATTTTATCATAAATACATACATATACATATATATATATATATATCTCTCTTTCTAGCTTATAATTATAATTATTTTAACTTGAAAACGTGGCATCAATCTTTATAATGAAATGGAAACATTCAACTACATGTGAAAATTAATATGAGTTGGAGTTAGTTGGATGAGGTCTTAGAATTATCCTTTGATTGGCAATAGGTGGCTATGTGAGTTGGTGTCAATTTCATGCCATTATTTACCTGAATTAACATGTCATATGGACAACAAATAAGAACTTATAGAAAATCTTTACCCTTCTATTTGAGCTTTTTTTTGTTGGATAGATTCAATTTAACGTTCTAGTATAGGTGATGTGTCAATTCTTCTTTTTTCATATGGATGTGTCAACTTTTTAATCATTTGTAATTTGACACACAAAAGGGCCAATGGTGTAATAATTTATAATTTTAAGGGTAATTTTCCTACTTTTTAAAATACTGAAACAAACAACTCTTTGTGAGTTGGGTGTTTATTTGTGTTTTAGTCTCTACTTGTGAGAGTTAGTTGTCGTTGTATTTGTAATTTTGGGCGTTGTATTACATGTTTGATTTGCTCAGGCATGTGACTGTTACATTGAAATATATTTGGTCTTTTAGGGCTATTAGTGGAGATACAAGTTGTGCGATGTCGCCAGTGTATCCTCTTATATACGGATTAACCCTCTGCAGTTATTGTGCATACATCTTTATATTAACCCTTTATGAGTATTTGATCTTTGTGTCCAATTATTGAATACAATTATCACAAATTTTCAAAAAGAAAACTTAACAGTACATATTCAAGCATTATTTAAATGGACTTGCCCCTTGATTTTTTTTTTTTTAATTTAAAAATGTCCCATTATTTTGAAGTGCCTCCTTTAATTACTTTCCCCCACCCTTTTCTGTATTTGTTGGTAACAAAAAGAAGTTGCTGAAATCATAGCCTCCAGCCTAAACTTTATGCCAAAACAATCATGTTCCTATATAAGATTTCCTTTTATTTCTTCAATTTCCTTTTGGTTTAAAAAGCTTCTGAATCTTTGTGAGTCGAGTCGAATACAAACATGAATGCAAACTATAAGTCGCCGGCAAGAATATATTATGTCATTTTATTCGGATATGGTAATTGATTAGCATGCAAGAATTATTGTAAAAATTAAATCATTTTCTATTGTCTTGACAAAAGACAATTACCAATCGATATGGATACTCAATGTGGAATCTAATCCACTAGGTGCAGTGACCACCTAACTAGAAATATCACATGCATAATCTTTATATATATTTTTCATAATTATTCTCTTGGCTTTTCATTTTGCTAGTAAAATTCAAGGGTTTTTTTTAACTACAATGATCCTTAAATTTATATCTAGTTTTATTTTGGTCCTTCAGATCTCGTATGTGTTCCAATTTTGTTATTTTTTCAAATTCGGTAAAACTGAGGAGTAAAACTAATAATTTGGATGCAATAATCTTCAAAAAAACAAACAATTTTTTTATTATTATACTGAATTAACTAAATTAGAACTCGTGCGAGAATTGATGGATCAAAATGAAACTCGTATAAGTTCAAGGATCGTTGTAGTTAAATCCCAAAAAAAAAGGGCTTTCCACAAGTAGACCCATTCTAACATGGATATACACGAAAATTCTTAGAGCCTATTTGGAGAGAAAAACCCAAAAATAGTCACTTATCATTTTCTAATGACTAATTGCTTCTTATAAAATTTTAACACACTAAGAACCAATAAGAAAATGACAAGTTCACTTTGATGGGGGAGGAAGCCACTATTCTTCCTCCTCTCTCCCATCTTCTTTTCCTCCCTCTCTTCTCTCCCTTCATTTTCAGAGACAAAAGGTTTTCCCTGTTTGTCTTCGTTTTGTTATGATTTTCCTCCAACCATCACAGGCGGCTGAGTTTCGGCGTCGAATCTCCACATGCGCTTCGGCGTCGGATCTCCACCACCATCCTTTTTGCTGTTCCTTTATGTTCGGAATAAGTCACAGAGACTCTTTGGGTTGTCTGTGTAGTTTTCACCTCTTCTTTTGTGAGAGCTTTTCACCTCTCATTTGTGAGAGATTTTCATCTCTACTCTTTGTGAGAGCTTTTCATCTCTCCTTTGTGAGAGTTTTATTTCTATTGTTAAGGCTTGATTTTTTCAAGCTTTATCTCTGTTTGATTATTCTGAGTTCACAATCTTAGTTGGGATGCCTATGCCAGAGTTTCTTCGATCTTGAGTGATTGTTAGTGGAGACGCACCAGATTGTTTTAATTTTGAGGTTAAACTGCTCCGTTATTATAATGGTCATTTATAGCTAGTGGCTTTTTTAGCTAAATTATAAATGCAATCCCAAAATTTCTCCCCAAAAAAAAAAAAAAAAAAAAAAACAGTTTTGTGCGCCATATTAAGTCACTTAGTGATGTGGATTTGAAAGTTTCCTTTGTTTTACATATAACTAATTTGGATCAATTACGTTTTGCATCTCTGTGGCTTGAGGTGAGTGAGAGTTGGTTCATGGCCTCTAAAAACTAACAAAAGCAACCCCTAAAGTTACAAATAGTATAATCAACATTATACATTGGTAAAAAGTTTAGAGTAATGCTAAAAAGATCACATTTGTATAGAGAGAAAAATATATCATTACATTAAAAAAAGAATGATATTTTTTGTTTTGTTTTATTGATTACAAAATAACATAAGAACAAAAACAAGGACACAACCCCAAAATTTATATTAGGGTTAGTCATTTATTCTTTTAAACAAAACAAAAAAAGAGCAATAAATTTTCAATCTTCTCAATCCCATGCACCAAAATAAGTTAGTGTGTTATATCACTAACATTTCTTAGTGCATGTACATCTCAGCCTGAAGCCAGGACATTTGCCTCCCATGAAGCCCTCTTTTTGGCAAGCATCTGCACAGCTGCTTGATCGGAAGCAAAATCCCTTGAATTTCGTGCTCAGAGACTCACAAGTCCCTGACTTCTCCTTTGTTGCGACCTTGCCCTCAGCAACCATTGGACCCGTCCCTGCCAAACATTCATCGATAAAAATTAACAAGAGAAGGTAGAGATTCAAACTTGAAACATCTTCCAGCATTGGAAAGAAATATGCCACTAATCAAATATAAAAATGAAATTAAAATGAGGAAAGAGAGAGATACCAATAGCCACAAGGAGCAAGACGAGGATGAAGACAGTTGAAAACACACGTCTAGATCCCTCCATCTTGAATTTTGTGTGTGTACGTGCGCGCGCGTGAAACAGAAAGATAGACAGAGGGATGTTGAATGTTGATTCAAGATGCCTTGATTCATAGGTGAACCTTCCAAGGCCTTTTATATAGAGTTGTTATGAAGCAAATTAACTACATTTCCGTAAAGGGCGGTACATCGCCAAAAATAGAGAGTGGATGGAAATTTAACCTTTGTTATTATCACCTAACACTTAATTAGCCCATTTTGTGCCTACATGGATGATAAACCTAAATTAACACATCATATTTTTTTTGGGTAACTAAATTAACATGTCATATGGACAACAAATAAGAATTTCTAGAAAATCTTTAACCTTCTATTTAACCTTTTTTTTGTTGGATAGATTCTATTTAACTTTCTAGTATAGGTGATGTGTCAACTCTTCTTTTTTTTAGATGGATGTGTCAACTCTTTAATCATTTGTAATTTGACACACAAAAGCGCCAAAGAGAATGCTAACAACCTTCTCTCTAACCTTCTCTTTTGGACCTTCTCCATTCTTCTCATGATATGTGTCAATTTCATTACACTTAAAACAATGTCATTAATGCATCACACATACTACTTTTTGTTTTTCAAATTTACCCTTATTAAATGTATTGGATTTTTCGTTTCCTTCATTTATTTATTTATTTTTTAAACTATTTTATAACCTTGCTAAAAAAATTAAATAAGAAAAAACGTCAGCTTTTTTTTAAAAAAAACATATGTTTTTCTTTTCAAGAGAGAGCGTTTGTTTTATAAACACAAAAGAATTTAGACCACTATTGATTGATACTTAACCATGCTCGAAGGATGATTCTTTTGCCCTAAAACAGTCAAATTTGTCTAAGGCGGAAGCTACACATGTGATGTTTACATAGCCATTGCAATGACCAATAGAAACAAAGAGAAAATAGGAGTTTCATTTCTCTAGAGAGAGAAAAAAAAAAAGATATTTTTTTAAAAAATAAAAAAAATTGACGTTTTTTTAAAATTAAAACAAAAAAATTAATAAATTTAATAAGGGTAAATTTGGAAAATAAAAATTATATTGTGTGATGCATTGATGACATTATTTTAAGTATAAGAAAAGTGACATATGTCATGAGAAAAAGGGAGAAGGTCCAAATAAGAAGGTTAGAGAGAAGGTTGTTAGCATTCCCCAAGGGGCAATAGTGTAATAATTTATAATTAGAAGGGTCGTTTTCCTACTTTTTAAAATACGGAAACCAAACTATTGCATGCCTCAAATCACAATTAATTAATAATTATGATCGATGAGAGTTTAGAACTAACTATAGATAATTCCATCAACTCTTTGTGAATTGGGTGTTTATTTGTGTTTTAGTCTCTACTTGTGAGAGTTAGTTGTCGTTGTATTTGTAATTTTGAGCATTTTATTACATGTTTGATTTGCTCAGGCATGTGACTGTTATGTTGAAATGTATTGGTCTTTTAGGGTTACTAGTGGAGATACAAGTTGTGCGATGTTGTCGGTGTATTTCTTATATATGAATTAATCCTTTGCGGTTATTATGCATACATCTTTATATTAACCATTTATGAGTATTTGATCTTTGTATTTAATTATTGAATACAATTATCGCTAATTTTCCACACACGCACAAAAATAATAATAATTAAAAAAAATAACTGTACATATTCAAGCATTATTAAAATGGACTTGCCCTTTGATTAAAAAAACAAACAAAAAGAGGCCCCTTTATTTTGAAGTGCCTCATTTAATTACTTTTCCCCACCCTTTTCTGTATTTGTTGGTAACAAAAGAAAGTTGCTGAAATCATAGCCTCCAACCTAAACTTTATGCCAAAACAATCATGTTCATATATAAGATTTCCATCTATTTCTTCAATTTCCTTTTGGTTTAAAAGGCTTCTGAAATCTTTGTGAGTCGAGTCCAATACAAACATGAATGCAAGCTATAAGTTGCCACCAAGAATATATTATATCATTTTATTCGGATATGGTAATTGATTAGCATGCAAGAATTATTGTCAAAATGAATGAAATCATTTTCTTTTGTCTTGACAAAAGACAATTACCAATCGATATGGATACCCAGTGTGGAGTCGAATCCACTAGGTGCAGTGACCACCTAACTAGAATTATCACATGCATAATCTTTATATATATTTTTTAAGAATTATTCTCTTGGCTTTTCATTTTGCTAGTAACCATCCCTAAATTTATACTTAGTTTTATTTTGGTCCTTTAGATCTCGCACGTGTTCCAATTTAGTTATTTCTTCACATTTGGTCAAATTGAGGGGTACAACTAATAAAATCCTATAAAATAAAAAATAAATAAAAATCAACAATTTTTTATACTGAAATAACTAAATTAGAACACGTGTAGGAATTGAAGGACCTAAATAAATCTCGTATAAGTTCAAGGATCGCTGCGGTTAAATCCCAAAACTAAATATCCATAGAGTAATCTTTATATTTTTGTACAATATCAGATGAAGTTTAAATGAAAATAAATTCAAAATTGGGATAAGTAGAGCATCTAGATCCTACGATATGAAGGACCACAAATTCACGAAGTCCTTGTGGGATGAAATCAAAATCTTATTATTAGATTAGTAAACTTGGCTTAATAAAGTTGAATTAAGAGCCATCAACTTTTTGTGAGTTATTTGTGGTCCTTCTGCTTTGTCTCGTGGTACCTGTGATAAAAGAAGAAAGAAAGTAAACCAACCCAAATAAAAAACAAATAAAAAAAGTCAAATAAAAAATGACAATTGACAGTGAGAGAGGTACAAGACGATGCCTTGAGGCCCCTTCCCACATTGAAAGCTCTGATAATTTAAAAAGAATTTAATAAATAAATAAAAGCAAAGGCCATGGGGTTCATGTTTGTGTGGAGGGCAACAAAGCCACGTGAGATCGCATTTGCTTCAAGGAGTTTGCCCTTAATTTTTTTTTGTTGGGACAAAAGTCATTTTTGGTCCTGTAATTTGTCATTTTTACCATTTTAGTCCATTTCGTTTCAATTTGATTAATGTCCCTGTAGTTTCAATTCCGAGCAATTTAAGGACAATCCCTACTCTTTTTTTTTGTCAAATTACTTTATAGAGGGACATTTTAGTCCAATCTTGTATCCCCTCCACAACTACTCCCTAGCCACCTAAGCAACCCTTAATGTTGCTTTTATTATGCTTTCAAGTCTAAAGTCTCCACTTTATCTTGGGTTAATGATGAGAAGTTTTAGGCAATGCATGTAATTAGTTTTGGAGTTTGATGAGAGAAAGAGATAGTTAGGGGAAAAGGTGGTGGTGGAGGGAGGGGATAAGGTGATTGGGTCGTGGCTATAGGGTAAGGAGTGGGTTGAGTTAGGAGGAGGAGGAGGAGGAGGAGGAGGAGGTTGGGTGGGGAGGGGGAGGAGGAATGAGAGAAGGTGGTTGGGTAGGGGGTGCTAGGTTTTTATGGGGGTGGTTGTGGAGGGGCTGTAAATTGGATCGAAATGCCCTTCCATATTATAGTAATTTGACAAAAAATTAGGAATTGTCTTTGAATTGTTCAGAATTAAAACTATAAGGACAAAATTGATCAAATTGAAACTATAAGGACAAAAATGATAAAAATAATAAACTATATGAACCAAAAATGACCAAAACCTCTTTATTTTGTATTTTATAACTTTTCAACACAAACACCCTCGCCCCACGAGAAAAAAGCCAATTTCTTAAAAAGGGCTTCTAATATAAGCAGATTTTGCGTAATGTATTGCTGGAAAATCACTTTTCTTTTTACTGCTTTTGGGAGTGAATGGTGGGACCCAAAAGAGGCACGAACGAAATATGGCAATTAAATCACTTAAAGTTAAAGCCCACTTTCATTTAATAATTCCCCTGTCTTGTAGAGGATATATAGAAAGCAATTTCTATTTAGGGAATCCATAAGATTTGGTGCTGCCTTTATTATAAAGATTCTTTGTTACCTCCACTTTTGGCCATGGGCGCCCGCTATCCAATTTGCTTTAATTGTCTTATATCCGAGAAAACAATAATAATCTACAATTCAAATATAAGTGTTCTATTCCTTTGACCCAAAAAAGAGTGTTCCATTAACCAAGGTGGTTGGTGTGAGTGGTTCGGCACTCTCATTCCTTAAGAGAATGTCAGGGGTTCGATCCTTGCTCTCGTATGGAGTCACCACTTTGGCCAGCACTTTACCCCTTACGGGCCGACCCGGTGTGAGCGGGGATTAGTCTGGGTTGGGGTTAAGGCTTAAAGGTGCCCCCCATAGTTGGGGCCCATCCAGGACCACCTCGTGGTTCAAACCAAAAAAAAAAAAAAAAGTGTTCCATTCCACTCTTAATTGCATCGAATCAAGTTCAAATTCAACATCTACGAATTCATTGAGCCTAACTCAACTTAATTATTGAACCTAGATGGTTAAAGTTGGAACAGTATTTGTACGTGGTTCGGATTGAGAAATGTCGAGAGTGAAGCCATCAAATTCGAATAATTTAGGGATTTTATTTTTCAGTATTAAATAGTTGATATCAATGTGTATGACATATATAGTTTAAGAGAAATGCTAGCAACCTTCTCTCTAACCTTCTCCTTTGGACCTTCTCTCTTCTTTGCTTGACATGTGTCATTCTTTTTACACTTAAAACAATGTCATTAATATATTATACAAGCTAACTTTTGCTTTCCAAGTTTACCCTTATTAAATGTATTCAATTTATCCAAAAACATTTCACAACTTTCTTACTATTTTATTAATTTTTTTCTAACGTCAATTATTTTTTGGGAGTTTCACTAAAACACCCAAAATGGAGGTTGAAATTATAAAAAAACCCAACACCCAAAACACTTTATAAACACACCCAAAACCCATCATTACACACACTCAAAACCCATTTATAAATACACCCAAAAAGTTGACTTTGGGGTTGATTTTGGGTGTGTTTCTATGTTTAAATAGTACTTGAGTTTTTTTTATAAATACATGTCTAAGATTGGGTTTATTTATAAATTTGTATTATTTTTTTTAAAGAACATATATGTTTTTTTTTTTTTCAAAAAAGAGGAAATGT